GCCCAGATTAAGGTCAGTCTTGAACCAATTCTTACCTTCACCCATACGTCGAACGCATTCTTGTATTCGGGTTTGCCATCAATCACCTTCATGGATTGGATCCTTAAATTATAAAGCTGTCAGGGGCGTTAACGTAGTTGCACAGGTTCAGCAACACTACGGGAGACGAGCAGGAGAACCGGCAGGAGACGCGCATGCCGCGCACAGCGCACCGCGGCAGGAGACGCGGCGACTTGCTACGCAGCGCGACACTAGGTCGCAACGACTATGGTCGTCTGCGCTCTCACAAGGCTAAGAGTTGGCTAAGAAACAGTTGGCTTACTCTTGATACTTGCGCCCTCCAACCACGTTAGCGCCAAAATCGGAGGATTTTTTTAATACTTTGACACAATACATGACATGTGCACTGGTTTGAGAGCATGTTTCCCAACCCTCATTTTGCGCTTTCTTAGGCCGGATTCCTCTGATTAAACTTATGTAAACGCATTGCTACCGTTAAAAACGGGGAACGTCGTACATTAAGGACCATCTGCGGGAGGCCGTAATTGCCTTAGAAGATGAGGAGAATATTTTCGGTTGCTGACTTTTCTTTGCTTCTCTTACAAGGTGCCATACCCCAGCTCCCCCACCCCCACTCGATGGTACTTTCTTTCCGAGGGAAAAGTGAAAAAAATTTCTGGAAGAAAACTCCTTAAAAGTGGCAGGAGAAGGAAAAAATTTGGGAAGATGTATTTGAGATGGGAATAAGAAAAGGGAGTCGTATCAGAGGAGCAAATACTGGGAAGTGTTGAGGGGACGTATTTCGCGAGAATTTTCCCCCAACAGGATCCTCCGTCAAAAATGCGTTGGAAGGGGCGCTTCATTGTTATTGCAATTTTTGGTTCAAAACAAGTTGTTCACTCGAGTCGCAAAAAAACACCAGACGGAGATGGACGTGCCAATACTGTTCCTGTACAAGGAGGTGCAATGCGCTCGAGAGGTCCTTTCCCTTTTTTTCGAACCACACTTTCACACTTGCAGATCTTGGTATGCTGATTGACAGCGTAATTTCTACATGCAACAGAGACCAATAAATTTTTTTCAAAAAAAGCCCTACTCAAAAAAAAACTAAATTGCACACGATCACTCCTCACGTATGTAATTAATTCGTTATTCTTAGAATTACTGAACCATACCTAGTTTTCGCAATGTCGACAGGCATCGATGCGATTGTCGTAGCTAAGCCAGAGACCATGGATGCAAGGAAGTGGCAGAAAATACCTTAATTACATGTCTTTGGCATCACCAGGAAACGCTAAAAAATCATGGAAATCTCACCATCGTGGACGTATCCCGTCTCCAGTAGTGCTTGTTTTGATTGTGAATATGTCGCCAATTGTGCAGCATTCACAACCATTGCACGCATCACAGTGGGTGCACAACCCTAAACGAAAAGAGGGAAATCAGTCAAAGAAACAGTTGAGCTTTGCTTTTGACCCCTCAGATCAACTAGGAGTCTTTTTATCAGCTGAAAAGATCTCTAACGAGAGATCAACGCCAAAGACAAGTTATCGTTGTCGTCCGCCCAAAGAGGGCCCAAATGGCGGGGGGGGAATGTACAATTTCAACTAATCAACTTCAAACGCATCATTTCCAAAATACTTTCGCGCAATTTAAGCAAGGTTGGGCATTCTGCGGCTTTGCGCTAAAATGATTGTGAGCCATGGGGAGGGGAAGTTTCACATCAGCTGATAGGAAAGCCTTTGAGGCTGGTGAACGACCCCTCCTGCGAAAAGTGGTGATTCCGAACACCTTGGCTATTCTGCACCAAAATGCTCCAATTGTGATGACGCTACCCCGTAATAATCATCCTAACACTCACCCTCCACAAAGTGAAAACGCCTTCCTCTTTCACAACACGAATCAGAGCATCAAACACGTTCTTGTAATTACGACGTTGCTCGGGAGGTAGTCGACCATCGCCTGAACCGCATGTTAATCATTTTTAAGCCCGATTATTACACACAAGGCTCCTTGTCTATCATTCATTTTTGCTCACGCAAGAAACCGCTTAGAAGGTTGCATCGATACTCCAATCTCTCGAAACTCTTTCAGGAAAGATCAGGGTAACCAGGCAATAACACAGCTTCTCAATTAACATACCAGTCATTCTGATCAGCGCCAACTCCGCTGGTGTTCCAACAACAGATCCCACGGCTCCCGCAGTCATACCTAGCGATGCCTTCATGGCAAAAGAAGGTGCAGCATCGCCACTGAATAGTCCGGGAGTTGCCAGAGGGTAACGAAGAAGAACAATATCAATGGCATTGGACGGAACTTACGTCTTGAAATGTTCGAACAGGTACGTGTAGGTTCCCAGCCTAGTTGTGGTGTAGGTTGCTTGACGAAGCAAACCTGCACTGAGGCCATTATAAACAGCCAAAACACCTTCATTTCGGATGATCGATGTCAGCGCGTGAATACTCGAACGATATTCTTTTTTACCTGGAATAGACAACCTTGTGCAGTGCAGTGTTCCTGAGAGACACCTTGCACAGCACCAGTTGGTAGGGGACGAGGAAAATTGTAAGCTACTTAACAATCACTTATCTGAAGGCACCCCGCAAGGAAAACGGAGTGAATAAAATAGTAATGTCATTTGTATACAACCCTGGTTCCCTTACAAGAATGTCGGCTCTCCACTTATCCGGAACTGCTGAGATCCCTTTCATCTATATCTTCCCCTTTGTACCATCCACCTCTCAGCTTATACTTTGTTGTAGAGCAAAGGAGACCTTACTTGGAGCACCCAGGGGGTGAGATCGGCGCAGCTGAATAGTGTGTTGTCCTCCCATAATAAGAATGAGAGAAACTAGAGACAGGGCTCGAGATTATTTGTAAAATGCGAGACTGTGTTTATTTAAAATTTATTCCTCTCATAGATCCCCGCTCCTCATCTCTCATCCTCGCAAAGTTTCCGGCACCCCCCCCCCCCCCAACTGCCATCGAGCGGACGCAGGGTATGCAGCGCATCTGGAATGGAACTGAGGAGTCACTACCCTAAAATACTTTTTTCGAAGGCAAAAACGAACTCCGTCGCTGGGGATTCTCAACGTGGGGCATGCCTCTTTTTGTGATATTCTAGCAGTTTCTGGTGCCCAGAATTACTCGCAACCTCTCCCTTTCATGGTTGACCATTTTTTTTTGTTTCTGGAAAATAAGAGAAGGGGCGAGAAGGGGAGAATAAGCGGTGAAGAGCTGAACCTCGCGAGCAAAAGATATCGTAGTTGCGGCCGTTGTGGAGCTGAACCGTGCTGAACGGCGCCGTGGTGAAAATCTACAAATCTGTTTCTCTATACCGATTTCGTAGTTTATAAAAGGGAAGACAGCTAGGTGTAGCTGTTTTTTTCATCATTAGTTAAAGTGAAGGTAGCTAGGTGTAGCTGTCTTTTTTTCTCTTGCCTTCCAAACCCACGACACTCTCCCTAACTACACCCTCCAACTGATCGCCCGTATGACTTTAACAATGGGATGTTATCAAACATTTTAACTGATACAAAGGATACGAAAGATGTGAAAGGTTAGTGCATACCCGTGAGACCAGACAACTGCATTCTGTTCTTGACAAGATCCAACGGTTGAACAAACAGTGTCGCTCCCATTCTGCAAACAATTAGTACTTCATATTTTACTTTCTATATAAAGAGAGGGTTCTTGGTGCTGATGGGCTTGGGAAGGGCATTATGCACTTTCACTAGTTTCTTTTGCTAGATCCTTTAAAACTATAAGTCACACTTGAGTGGGATCTGCCTGCTCTTTCCAAT